AACCTGGCTGGGCCCGGAGGGAGGAGTCCCCCTCGTAGAGATGTGCCCAGAAGGTTTTCAGGTGCTCCATCAGCCGAGAGCCCAGGGAAGGGGTGGAGGTGTGGCTATTGTTATCCGAGAGTCTCTAGTACCTCGTAGGATCCCTGCTCCGGAGCTTGTCGGGTGTGAGTCTCTGCTGGTGAAGTTGGACCTCAAGGGTCAAGCCCATGGCTGTCATGGAAGCCATGAACTCCTGCGCTCCATCAGAGTGAGCACCGATAGAAGGCAGGTTGAAATCCCCCAGAACCATAAGCCTGGGAAACTCAACTGCCAACTCGGCTACCGACTCGAGGAGTGAGGGGAGGGCTGCTGCAATGCTGTTGGGAGGCAGGTACAATAACAGCAAACCCACTTGACCCTTGAGGTCCAACTTCACCAGCAGGGACTCACACCTGACAAGCTCCGGAGCAGGGATCCTACGAGGTACTAGAGACTCTCGGATAACAATAGCCACACCTCCACCCCTTCTCTGGGCTCTCGGCTGATGGAGCACCTGAAAACCTTCTGGGCACATCTCTACGAAGGAGACTCCTCCCTCCGGGCCCAGCCAGGTTTCAGTAATACAGTAATACAAAAAGATAAACCTTACCTAGAAAATCCTTCTGTTATATCACTTAAAAATATATTGAAAAGAACAGGGCCTTGTAGTACAGGGCTGGTGACTGGTCTTTGTTCAGACAGTGTCCCATTAATATCACACACTGGGATCTATTCCTGAACCAACTTCCTTTCCACTGAACCATCCAATAGTTAAGCCCTAGCCTGTTCAACTTTTAAAGGAGCTCGTTATATAGAACTATCAGAAGCTAATAGCTTTCCTAAAATTCAGGGTATGTTATGTCCAGCACCACCTTCATCCAAAAGATTTGTGCCAAAGTTTAAAAAAAATATATCAATCAAATTAGTTTGATGTGATCTTCCCTCAATAAAGCCATTCTGCTTTGGGTCCTTCAAGTTGTGTGGTCTTAAATGTTCTTCAATCCTTTCTTTCAGGAGTGATTCCATTAACATTACTGTTAGAGATGTTAAGCTTAGTGGCCTGTAGTTTCTAGCTTCTTCCCTAGCCCCTTTCTTGTGGATGGGTACAATATTAGCTGTTCGACAGAACTCATCTTTGAATTAATCCATTCTAGCACTGTATCCCTTAGGGAATCTTTATTTGAGAGACCAAAAGAATATGACAATTTCTACCACTTAGACCTATTTTGAATTGAATTGAATGCTTTATTGGACGAAGTGTAATTAAACAGACAAGAAAGCTTCTGGTTCAGAAGCTCCCGTGTACATGCAAAGCAACAGGATAATAATAATCATAATAATACCAATTAAAAAGAGGGGAGTAAAGAAGATAAAAAAGATAAAGAATAATACTACAGCCATGCTACATCAGTAAACACACATAGACATTAGTCAGCATTGTGAGAATTAAGTGTTCAGCAGACTGACGGCAAAAAGGAAAAACTGTCTCTATGTTTAATGTCCTATAGTGCCATTCCAAGGGAAGGAATTGAAACAGTTTATGTCCATGATGTGAGGGGTCTGCAAATACCTTCCCAGCACTCCTTCTGACCCTCGCAATATATAGGTTTTCTATGAAAGGCAGGCTGGTTACAATTGTTATTTCTGCAGTCTAAACTATCTGTTGGAATCTGTACCTGTGTTATTTGGTTGCTGTACCAAATCAGACAGTTATAGAATGGCAGACTCAATAATTCCTCTGTAAAACTGTATCAATATCTCTTGGGGCATCCTGAAGTTCCTGAGATGACTCAGGAAGAACATTCTTTGTTGTGCCTTTTTAATGATGGTTCTAATGTTAAGTGTCCAGAAGAACAGAAGAAAAAATAAGTTCAATTTTTGGCTGAAATATGCATATTTTCTTTGTGACTCATCATCATCCTATATAAAATTTTATTAGGATTCTGAGAAAATCAAACTGAATAAAATGCCAGTGAATTATTTCTTACAATTGTAGAATATGGTTTTTTTTTAGTATGACATATAGATTAAATTTAGTTTTAACTAATGTAAGGTTTGTGTTATATCTGTCTCTAATTAGGAGCACCTTAAAAGTAGAGGTATCAGTCTTTTGAATTTTAATGCAGAAATTCCAGGTTTGTTTTTATAACAATTAGTCTTTTAATTGCACGTCAATAGGAGCAAAGTTGCTGCAGCACCTTTATATTGTTGTTCCATGTGTACAGTGTTCTGATTAAGAGAGTGGAATTGCAGATTATTTTGACTCTGCTTTACAAATCTTAATCCTCTCTAGGGCTACATAAAACAATGCCGTAAAAGAGCAGACATGTTCACAGAAGAGCAGTTGAAGACTATATTTGGGAATATTGAGGATATCTACAAATGCCAGAAAAAATTTGTTAAAGCCTTGGAGAAGAAATTCAACAAAGATTGCCCTCACCTAAGTGAGGTTGGCTCTTGCTTCTTGGAATATGTAAGTTGACATTTGTGCAAGTAAGCAAGCTAAAGGCCAGGTTTATAAGGCATTGCAGCTAGGTGACACTATCCCACAGTGAAATTTATCCATACCCTTCACGTGCCTGAACTTCACTTCAAGAATTCTGAGCAATGCCTATTCTGGACAGGAAATTCTAAGAACACCCCCCCCCACACACACACCTGTGATGGAATAGCTGATGTATTAAGAATGCCCACTCCAGTTTCATTGAGCTCAGAGAACCCTATTCCTGGAAATTATACTTACAATTGTAGCCTGAAAGAAGAAAACACTGACAAGGACATTCAAATAATTGTAGTAAATTATTGTTGTTATTTAAACAATAATAATTTTTGTATTAACTTTATGTTTTTAGTTTATACAATTTTTGTCTTTATGATTGTAAGCTGAGTTACCCTGAGATAAGATGACTGACAAACAAACAAACTTATGTTAAAGCTTAAAATCTGACAACAGAAAAAAATGAGGACAACTCAAAGTATTCACCAATTTTCCTTATTTTTACCTAGCAGTGAATACTAGTGTTGCAGTCCATACATCTTTAAGTTTCCAAGTTTGAAAAGCACTGCTTTAAACTCCAGGGGAATTATTAGGAATTGCAGTACATTTACAAGACATCTGCCCCAATCTTAAACAGTAGACTGAAATATTTGAGTGCCTTTTGTATACCAGATTATAGACAGAGGTGGGCATCGCATACTATAACAACTGGTTCGCCCAGCACCGGAAATATGAGTGAGCGCATGCATCAATATAATTTTACACCTAATTTGTGATATAACAAGAAAAATATTAAGCCTCATAATTGGCAGATTTTCTAGTTTAGAGGCAGAATTATAATTTATCTCCTGGCAGACAGCTTTTATAAATTGGCTACCAAGTGACCATTTTCACTTGCCCACAAAAATAAGAAAAAACAACTTTCTCAGAATGTCCATCTAAGGCAGCTTTTCTCAACCTTTCCACCCTGGAGAAAACCCCTGACATAATTTCGACGGAACTCCTGCATAAAAATTATTATATTGACAGTTCAAGGAACATTAAACTGTTGCGGTGTGTAAAAAATCCTATTACTGTGAGTACTTGTATTGTATAACATGTGAAATAAAAAAACAATGATTTTTTTTTTAAAATCTCAACTTCTTGTGGAACTCCAATTGAGAAAGGCTGGCCTAAAGTATTCTTCTGTTGTCCAATTGAATTAATGGTATAGTTCAAGATTTCGCATGGTGTTGTACTCATATATTTTAAACTACGTTCATTTGTATTTTGTGTTAGGCTGGATTATTCTGGTTTCAAAAATAAAATTGATCCTGTTCTCCATAATTCAATCTTTTGTCTTCCAATTCAGCAAAATGAATTCCAGATTTATTCAGAGTACTGTAACAATCACCCAAATGCTTGTATGGAGCTTTCCCGGCTTACCAAAGTGAACAAATACGTCTATTTCTTCGAAGCATGCCGTCTCCTTCAGAAGATGATTGATATTTCTCTGGATGGTTTCCTCCTAACGCCAGTGCAGAAAATTTGCAAGTATCCCCTACAGCTTGCAGAACTGCTGAAATATACCAATCCGCAGCATAGGTAAGGAGAAGTGAGGAATGAAAAAAAAATAGATGAAAAGAAAAATGTCATTATGTTTTAGTTATCCTGACACCTTTTGTTTGGTAACATTCCTTAGAAATTAAATTTAAGCAGTCTTTTTCTTAGAGATCTTACATCTTATTCACCTTAATGAGCAAATATCATCCCCCCCAATAGCATTTAAAAACTAATTGCCTTGTAACAAAAGAATGATTGCAAATGATTATTGCAGGTTTCAGAAGCTCCTTCTATGAAATCCTGAGATTCTGTCCACAATTTCCATTGTCTTTATCAGAAAGTGGCATACATTGCAACAGAGATACGAAAATAATAATCTGTTTCCCTGAAGAATCAATAGGATGAGGGAGGGTAAATGCTACTTCAACACTTGGAAAAACAAATACTTAAGAACAATCAGCATAATTGATAGCCATTGCAAAGGTTTGTAGTTTAGGAAATTAATAACCCAGTATCAAAATGTTAAGTACAGTGTTGTCAGTTCTCCAAATAAGTAGAAAGAAAAAAATTAAAATTGAGGTGATGACATATTCATTGCACTCTCTCTCTCTTTCTTTCTCTTTGTCTCTGTCTCTCTGTCTCTGTCTCTGTCTCTCTCCCTCTCTCTTTCTCTAATGAGATAGAGATAGATATATTTCATTTTGATCCATAAGTTCCTTGCCAGTTTCTGGAAGGCTAGCTCTTTACCTTTTTGTGCATTTTTTGCTCATATCTCTAAAGGAAACTATTTCATCTGTAGGGATTTTAAAGATGTTGAAGCTGCTTTGAATGCCATGAAAAATGTAGCACGGCTCATCAATGAAAGGAAGAGGCGTTTGGAAAATATAGACAAAATTGCTCAGTGGCAGAGCTCAATAGAAGACTGGGAGGTAAAATGCAAACATTTTCAAAACAAGAAGCCACATGAGCATTATTCTTGCTGATGTGCACAAAATCATAAGTCATCTCCTGGACAAGGGAATACCATATACTCATCCAAATTAATACATGTTTACATATTTTAATTGATAAATTAATCTACAATTCCTGCCTGCTTGTTATTCAATTAAATAAACCTATTTATGTTTGCAAATATTCCTGTTACTTGGGCCTTGCTTAGCAATAAAAACCACAATTAAGCTAAATTAATTCTTAGTCTGAATTACAGTTACCCAGGAATATTTTGACTGTAATTAATGCCTTCCACTTGTTTTCAAATGGATGGCATTTGTTAAAAATCCGTGTCTGTTTATAATGTTCTATATGTCAGAACCTTAAGTGATATGAATTGTCACTGTTTCCTTAATAGCTATCAACACGAGCATATCATATGGTCATCTGTCAAAAGCTAAAAAAGTAGAGAAGCATTTTCCTCTATCTGTCTTACTGAGAAAACAAAACAAGGGTTGATAAAGGGAAGACCTTTTTATGAGCTAGTCATATACTGGCCACAATCTAATAAAACCAAATGTACTGAATTAAATGCTGTTAAAGCTTTTGAGTAAAGTACATATATATTGTACATGTGCTTTGGATTTCCTCTCTGCTGGATTGTGACCTTTTAGACACCATAAAAGAAGATTAAAATACAGTATGGATTTACTGTACAATTGGTGATCATACCATTTTGGGATATAAAATCAATTGGAGTTCAATACATAAAATCATATCTCCCATGGGTATAGAAAACATACTTATACTAAACTTCTGAATCTACTCTGGGGTGTGTTAACTTCAGCGAGGCTTATTCTCATTGAAGCATGCTTGAGATTGTATCCTGTATGTGCCTAAATTTAGCTCTAGACTTCTTCTCTGACTTGCCAAAAGTAGCATCGACTAGTTATCTTGGATCACAGATCCCCTTATTCTCAAAGCATGTTACTTAGTAGAAAATATTATTCCAACTCGATTATTTTCAACACTTACTATAGAATAGGAGGCCAGCTTAACAGCCAAAAATCTCAACACAAGATTAGCCTCACTAGGCTTGAGTGAAAGAGCCATTTCAGTCTGACTTACAAAAGCCAAATGATGTGAAACCATGGGAACTCTCAGGAAAGTATGGCTTAGGCTTATTTTTAAAGTTGTAGATATTCTACATAATAAAATGTTTAAGAATGATTGGCAATGATAAGTCACTTGATATAGACTGACTGATTTATATAAGATTAACTACACCACTTCCCAAGTGTAGTCAGATTCTTCTTAGAAATAAGAATAGCTTATAAAAATAACACTAAGATCATCACACATTGTTTCAAACACTTTTCCTATTTTTAAAGGGCAAGGGAAAAAGGAAGAACAATTGATTTGGAATAGTAGCAAACGCTTTTATGTGAATGCCCTGATTTTTAGTCTTAATGAAACTAACCCAGAGGGTGCAAAGTTGGAAGATGAATAATAAGCCATTTGTGACCCTAGAGATTTTCAGTACTAAGCTGCTGTATGTTCCTTATCCTCTTCTGTGGAGAAGAAAGTGAAGTGCCTTTCTTTTTTCATTGACAGGGTGAAGATGTCCTTGTTAAGAGTTCTGAACTCATCTACTCTGGGGAATTAACCAAAATTTCCCAGCCTCAAGCAAAAAGCCATCAAAGAATGTTCTTCCTCTTTGATCACCAACTTGTATGCTGCAAGAAGGTAAGCTAAGAGCTACTGCTGCCTCTGCCCACGTGCACTGTCTCCTGGTGGCAGCAAAATTACACCTTTGCTCAATTGCTTTTTAACATTTGGCATTCAAGCATCTTGCTTCAAGAACCTGACAGTGTGTTGGGGGTGACATATTATATTAAGCACCACTGTTTAAATAGACCAAGGAAAAAATCTGGGAAAGGGGCAGGGAGGGAACTCTGCCAAAATGTCTATAAGGCTGAAGTTTCTTTCAGGCTGGCTTTCTGTGCATTTGAGCTCAGGTCATTAATGCAAAAAGCCTGTTGTGAACTATTCTGCAACACTGCAGGAAAGTTACCGTATGTATTTAGCATTTATAAGAGAAAAGATGCAGATGAAAATGCTATCAAATTAAATCTAGCAGAATTGCCACCCTTGTTCTTCCTTAGAATTTAAATTCTACAGATGTATGGTAAGACAAAGAATTCTACAAATATTTCCAACTATGATATGTATCCATCCAGTTAAGCATCAAAATACAATACCTAACTGAGAATCCTTAAAGGATATGAGCTGTGATGGTGCAGTGGTTAGGAAGCAGTATTGTAGGCTAACTGCCCACTGCAGGAGTTCGATCCTCAAGGTTGACCCATTCTTCTATCCTTCCAAGGTCAGTAAAATGAGGACCCAGATGGTTGGGGGCAAAAGGCTGACTCTGTAAAGCGCTCAGAGAGTGCTATAAAGTGTAAAAAAAGGAATTTAATGTAAATCCTGAAAGTAACTTTTGTTTCAGATCAGACAAGGAGTTAAAAAAACTCTATTATCGTTAGTCTGTACATGGGAAATTGTTGTTCTCTGGCTAACCATTGTTGCATTGGAGAAGTGCTGAAATATGCTTGCTTTTTTCCCCTTAGGATCTCCTACGGCGTGACTTCCTCTATTATAAGAGTCGGATCAACATGGATCTTATGGAAATTCTGGATGTGGAAGATGGAAAAGATAAAGATTTCAATATTACTATTAAAAATGCATTCAAACTGCATTGCCAGGACACTGAAGAAGTCCATTTATTCTGTGCAAAGAAACCAGAACAGAAGCAACGCTGGCTCAAGGCATTTGAGAATGAAAGGAAGCAGGTTCAGCTTGACCAGGAAACAGGTATGCAATAGGCATGAACTATCACTGGGAACTACTATGCTGTGAATGTCTTTCATTGAAGTTCCCTGTATCTTGTCTATGAAGATTCTGAGTCATCCAGGTCATGGTTGTCCTTAAAATAAGTGCTTTTTCAAGAGGCAACTGGACTTTCTGGTTCAGCTCCAACTTCTCAATGAAATAACAAGGCAGATCAATTTCACACTTACTAGAAAGTCCAGTTGCCTCTTGAAAAAGCACCTTTGGATTTCCTACACCTTAATTATGTATTAAATTCTTAAAATGTCCCCACTTCGTTATTGACTCTATATTCTCAAGAGTCATATAACTGCAAACATTTCTATCACATATAATTTTTGAATTTTTCCTAATCTTACTGAAGTGCTTATCATAGAAATCTAGCTTTGCTAGATAGAGAACAGCAGCCCTTAATATGCTGCTGGGTTACCAGTGTCTAGGGCAAAAAAAGTTAATTGTAACTCTTCCTTATTATAATTGCCATACCATCTCAGTAGTCACGTGATTGCATGTCGTGTGCTTGGCAACTGATGGCATTTATGGATGGCTGCAGTATCATAGGGTCAAGTGATTTTTTTAAAGCTATTTTTTGGCAAAAAAAAAATGAATTCAGATTTATGATCACATGGTTTGCTTAACAACCAAGGTGTTGTTAATGGCCCTCATAAAAATGGTTGTAAAATTGAGTCCAGTCACATAATGACTCAACTTACAATTACCACAACTTAGGACCAAATGTTTGGGCTCAATTAGTATCATAAATTGAGAACTACTTGTATGGCCAATGATGAGGAATGCTGAGAGTTACAATTCAGTAAAATCTGGAAAGTCATAGGATTCCCTAAATTAGTATCTTCCAAACTAATGTACTTCTACTCTGTTGGGTCTCCTAGAATTGCCTGCCAGCCCTGTGAATTGTTGGGCTGAAGGGAATTATAGTGGTTATCGGCTCAAAATATCAGGAGAAGTTTGAAGATTGCAGTAGCATATCCCTTTATCTCATCCCATGGAGACCCATTGCCTGCAGCAACTTTTTAGCCTTACAAATCGAGTCCTTCTTCTTTAAAAATCCTTCCTGAAAACTGGACTGTTTTATCAACAGCTGTAGTCTCATTTTTTCATAGTTTCCATTTCTACCGCTTTCCTCTTCTCACCTTAATCTATATTTGTTACAATACTTGGTATAGTTTCTATTGCATGTATTGGGATTTTCTGCTTGATATGCCCCTTGTCCCTGTCTCCTCTTCCCAATGCATATGTTTCCATGACATGGAAAAGCCTCGTTGGATTAATTCCTCTTTCATCTTCAAGGTTTTTCCATCACTGAAATGCAGAAGAAACAAGCTATGCTTAATGCCAGCAAACAAAACCAGAGTGGAAAGCCAAAAGGCAAGTCAAGAGATATGTCTGCCCTCCTTGTTAACCTTTCCCCTAAAATAAATCACAGCTTAATGGCCCAAAATTATCTGAGTTAATAGGCTATGATCCAATCCTTGGTTATGTTCAAAAGCTGCTGTTAAAAAAAATCTATTCAAAATCCAAGTAATTACTTTAGAATATTTTGGCTTTATTTGATGATGCAGGAATCAGAAAGGTTAACATCTTTGTCAAGCTGAACTTAATTCCAGGTAACCTCAGGGCCATACCCATGTAATTTTTGTGGCAGTAATTAGAAAATGTTTTACCACTGCCTTCTTGGAGAAGATGCTTTGTAACATGTCAATCTAGGCCAGTGTTTCTTAAACTTGACAACTTTAAGATGTATGAATCAACTTCCAGAATTCCCTATGACTAGGTTATAGTTCTAGTATACGTTGGACATCCTCCACACAAAAAATAACTAAATTGACTTTGCCTAACTTTTAAGCCTAGATAACGTTGGCCAAATGCTGTCCCCTGCTGGGACAGGAAAGTCACAGCATTGAGTCTTTTATTGAAAATGGTAATGCATGAAAGATTTTACATCAACTTGATTTTATTGACTTTCTATGTTAAAATGTGAAGCGGCAATGTGGTGACCCCGCCCACCCCCATACTGAATTGCATATAGTTGCCAGCATGTTGTTCACCATTGCTTCTTTCTAGATGGCACTTGTCTGGAGAAACAGGAGACGTGCAATAAGTACTATGTTTCTCACATGTCCTTTCCAGGGCCAAGGACAAGCTGCTTAAATTGCATGATAGGCATAAGACCATTAGTAGCTCCTTGAATTGTAGCAGTGATGCACTGAAAACTAAATTAATTGGACTCTGTATTAAGAGCATGTTAGTTTCCCAAACTCAGATATGACAAATATTTAATTGCCCACCTTAAAGAATACTATTTTTTTATTTGACATCCTAATGCAGGGTGGCAAACTCAAGGCCCACGGGCTGGCTCCTACCCACGGGGTGCTTAAATTTGGCCCACGGAGCCACCCTGGAAACGGGGACTGGCCTGCGGTGCCTCTGCCAGTGAAAACGGGCTCCCGAGCTCTGTTTCTAGCTGCGACGGCCTCCTGCAACCTTCTCTCGTCAAAAATGGAACTCAGGAGGGTCCTCCTTTTTCACCGGCAGAGGTTTGCAGGAGGCCTTCATAGCCAGAAATGGAGCTCTGGGGGGGGGGGCTATTTTCTCTGGCAGAGTGCTCAGGCTGCCACAGGCAACATGAGTGACGCCACTCACAACATGAGTGACGCCCACTCTGGCCACACCCACCCTGGCTCTCTGAGGTCAAACACAACCCTGATGCGGCCCTCAATAAAATTGAGTTTGACACCCCTGTCCTAATGTTTTTTGCATTGTTTTACAACCTAATTATTAGGCCCACATCGTATAACAGCTATTACTGTCCTGGCACTCTCAAAATGCACAGCAAATGCAACTTCAATAGGAGTTGCAATCCCACTACATCTAGAGGGGTGAGAGTAAAGAAGTCTGGTAAATAAAGTTTTGAGAGAAACAACTGAGAAACAACCTGCAGAGGATGTAGTCCTTCCCCTTTCTCCCCATGTATTCACAGTAACGGCCTGCTGCCTTAAGAAGAGTGCTTAAAGCATCAGATTTGTGTTAAAAAAAAAGGCATATTGAGAATGGGACACTCCAGTTCTCAGAGGAGGCAGATTGTAATTGTAATTGTAAGTTTATTTATAGGCCGCCCTTTTCCCTGAGGGGACTCAGGGCGGCTTACAACTTGTGGGGAAGGGAATACAGACAGTGACATATAAAAAACAGTACATAATTAAAAATAGAAACAACATTCATCATTCGGGTGGGGACGAATTATAATCTTTAACCCCAGGCCTGACGGGATAGCCAGATCTTGAGGGCTGTGCGGAAGGTCTGGAGGGTGGTGAGGGTACGAATCTCCACGGGGAGATCGTTCCAAAGGGTCGGAGCTACTACTGAAAAGGCTTTCCTCCGCGTGGTTGCCAGTCGACACTGACTGGCGGATGGAACTCGGAGGAGGCCTAATCTGTGTGATCTGATAGGTCGCGAGGAGGTAATTGGCAGGAGGCGGTCTCTCAAGTACCCAGACCCACTACCATGAAGGGCTTTATGGGTGGTAAGTAGCACCTTGAAGCGCACCCGGAGATCAACAGGTAGCCAGCGCAGCTCGCGGAGGATAGGTGTTATGTGGGCGAACCGAGGTGCACCCACAATCGCTCGCGCGGCAGAGCAGAAGATACAACCATAAAATATATTTTTTTCTTTGCTCATTTCATCAGCAATGATCACCAGGACGTACTACGATTTCTTGATGCGCCAGAAACACCCTACTCTGCCTACAAACCTTCCCCAGCAGCAAGTCTTCATGTTGGCAGAGCCCAAACGCAAACCTTCAAACTTCTGGCAGAATATCAGCAGGCTGGCACCATTTCGAAAATGAAGGGAAGCAGCCTGACCTTGTGCCTGAATCCCTTTTGAGACAGCACTTTAAGCTTCTGTCCTTCAAGCCCAAGCACTTTCTCCACCTCTGGCTTAGCATCCTCTCCTCCCGACTCCTTTCCTTTGGATCAACTGGAAGAGCTTCAAAGTGTTATGATCTTGTTGTGTTTGTGTGCATGTGTGTATGTCAGTGAAAACGAACTCAGACTGCCAATACGGATGAGTACCTAGGAGAAGACGGATGTCAGAATATTTTTTTAAAATTACTTATTTGTCCCTTTTATTCTGGACCGCCCTTCAATCTGGGAACTTTTATTCGAAAAGACTGACAGGAAAAGACAACAGTGGATGAGCGGCTACCTGAACTTCTCGGCTATTTGACATGCTTACTGGTACACATTTTCCTGATGAGGTTCTCCCTTCCTCCTATCCAAATTTTCAGATCCAGAACAGCCTGAGCATTCCCAGGTGATCAAACGTCACCTTCTCTTATGTCAAACAGCTGATCTGGAACCAGTACTTGATTAACCAACTTGAGGTGCGGCTAAGAGCCAGGACATTTGTAGCCTAATTGAGTTAATGTATATAGGGGAGGGAAATTGAGCCTAAATAACCTTTTAATTTCTTTTACTTTCTCATAGCTCCTGGCCAACAATACTTTTCTTTTTCAATGTTTATAAAATGTTTATTTATGTAACAGTGCAAATAACTGTATTTTGTAAGTTTGTAATCTGTCTTGTCAGGTTTTTAACTTGATGCCTCTTTTGCCTCTTCTTTTCCACTAAAGAACGCCAGTATTTGGAAGCCTAAATCAACCTTCCACAACTTGATGTCCTCCAATTGTGTGGAAGTCCCATTCCAAGAATTCCAAAATAGGTGCAGTGAGCTTTTGTGGATTCTGGGAGTTACAGTCCAAACAGATCTAGGAGGCTCAATATGGAAGAAAGGCTGACCTATATTCCTAAAGATACAATACGTAGATTTATCTAAAGATTAATTTCAGGCATGCCAGGCATTACAAACTAAGCAGTATTATTTGGAACTGTGGTATATCACCTATGCAACACTCTGCAGAGGAGGTGGCGGTGCTTAAGAGAAGACAGGGACACAGATTTGCCAATTTTTATGGAGAGTGTATATTCAGATACTAACCACTTGAAAATTGATGGCACTCTCTCTCCATATAATCTTTTGATTAGATAAAAGATTTGCCTTACAATAGTGAAATAGATAGAAGCCATAACTGACTGAATCCCATTGTTTAGGGATTTCCTGGTACTGTGAAATTAAAAGTGAAGAACCCAACCTACCCTGGCATGACATTACTCCAGGGGAGTGAGCACTCAGCGGTGTGATGCAAAATGTTGCAGGGTCCAACTGTAGCTGACCAGCCTTCAGTTATAGAAAGCTAGAAGCATGTACAGAATCATTATTGCACTTTCTCTTTCCCTCTTTGGAGGGATTACATTTAATTTCATAAAGAAAATTGTAAAACTGACTTTCATGCAGTGTCTGTTTTTTTTCTTATGCAGAAATGTCTTGTAACCCAATAAGCATGTCCTTTGTATTTGATTATCCTTAAACGAACAACTACTGGTAATAGGTTTGCTTGGAGCAATCAGCAGAGTTTTTATTTCATACGAGGTATATCCTTGTGTTTAGTGTGTATCATTATGTATCTCTAGTTCTATATTATGAAATGGTAGACTACTCGGTTTCATTCCAGACAATATGGGAAAGGGTATAATAACAGAAGCATATATCCAGAATTTCTAGGCAGTCCAAGCTCCTCATCGTTTACCATAAAAATAGTAATATAAGGATAAATTAACATCTGGTCATGCGGAATAGCAGTCAACTCAAATAGCAGTCGTGTTAATTATGCAGGTCATTCACCCTTGTGTTAGTATATGAATACATCAGATTACAATTTCAAAAGATCCACAATGATCAGAGAAAGTTGCAAAGATAACGGCCAAGTATTTTGTCTTTGAATAACACTCAATTATCACAACCACATGGACATAATATTGTTTTCTTGGCCATAATGCAAAACGTGAATTACCTCTGTCTTCAAGGGTACCAATCTACAATCCTTGAATTCCTTCCATACTTTACTCAAATGAGAATCGGATCTGAGATTTACTAGGTTTTTTTTAACATTAGCTACCTTCAGACAGGTGCTGTGAGACTTCCACAAATTGAATGGCATGATTTAACAATGCTACAATTTGACAATTTTTTTTTAAAAAAAGCTACCATACACACACAGCCATAAACATTGTTCTGAGGTTATCTGGAAATAGGCCAGATTTCAGAATAGTATTTTTTTTTCATTTAAATGGAAAGAATTTATTGTGTTTTATTTGGATAATTTTGACTATTATATAAATGAATTTGCAAAATATCTCTTGCAGGAAAAGGGGAAAATATATACTTCTCTAATTAGGTAAGAACATTCAACTGTTCTTCAGAAATCCTTACCAAAAATAGGATAAAGTATGAATCAATAGTTCTCCATAGTCAGAAAAACGATCTGAAAAAAATTGTCTAGAATGACTTATTAGAGGCTGAAATGTAGGAATTAATTTGTTTCAGTTGGAAGCATTTGTCATATTTGAAAGCATCTCATGACATCATGCAATACTGTATGAAATATATTACTAGTTTTAGCTTACACCAGAGCAAGCAAGCAACCTAAATTTGAGATCCGGTGATATTATGACTGCAATACAGGCAAGGCTATAAACTGCTCTACATAATCAGATGTGAAGAAATGTGAAATAAAACCATTAACACAAAGACCAATTATTTTTCCTTCCTGCTTATCTTTCAAAGTCCTGACCAGTGATCTGACAAGCTTAAGTGCTTTGCCACCTCAATTTCACCTCATGTTCTTCTAAATAGGTGAGTTTAAGCATTATTTGCAACAAATAAGGAGTGTGGCAAATATAATTGGTTCACTCTTACTTGACTTTGAGCAGACTTTGCCTTGAATTCTAGGTGTCACCACATTTAAAGGATTCAGAGAAATCAGAAGAGATTCAGTGAAAGATGAAATCAAGTCCTATGAAGAGGCTGAAAGAGCTGGGTGTGTACAGCCTTGAGAAGTTGACAGAGGGAGATACAGTGGCATTTTCCTTGTGAGATGAGCAGCTATATCAATTAGATAAAAGTCACACTCAAGTGACACGAAATCTGAATTCTCATTAGGAAGTGCATGGTATAAAACAGATTAAGTCACAGAAAGGCAGATTGTTAGAAAGTTTCCATTTGACAAGAACCAATTACCTGGAGGGTGCTGGTTTCTATTGGGTATTTCAGTGAGAGTCAATTGGCTTCTTTCTGGAATGCCCAAATTTAAATCTCTACCCTGAATAGGCAGTTGAACCTACTGATCTAAATGATTCCTTCCAATACCAACCCAACTTTCATTAAACATGGCAAAATTACAGCAGTTCTCTCAAAGCATGTGAAATTTAAAATTAAAACATTTATTGGCAAGAAAATTAAAAAAAATCTGCTAATCTCTTTAACATTTTTATTTCAATGAAATGTGCAAATTGTTTTAAAATTTTATGGATGGTGTTAAGAGAGCAAGTGTGATGTGAATCAAACTCTTGTTGCTCAGTAAATTAGAGGCAGGCAATGTGAATTTCTTCAGATGTTTTAAATCACAATTCCCACAATCCACGTTAATAGCTTTGCTGGCTGAGACTGATGGCAATTGTAATCCACAATGTGTAGAATGTGCCAGATTGCCTTTCAGGGATGAAGAGTTTCTAGCACAATGCATATTAAAAAGCCTAATCATCATTTAACATTAATTTTGGGGATTGTAGTTGCAAAAGAAAAACAACAACAATAAGCAACACAGTCAATCTTTATTGAAAACTGAAGTATTAATACATAACAATTCCTGTTACATAAACGTGCTTTTAAGAATTTAACTCTGAGCTCATCTACTCATTCGATTGTATAATAAAAATGAATTTTACACAATTGGCTCAGAATGGAATTGCCACTCCTATGTGTTGATGCAAAAGATGTGATGCTTTAAACTTCTGGAAGACAACATTGACCTAAACTTGGGAAAAAGTACCAATACAACTGTTTTAAGACAGTTTTTTTTTTAAAAAAAAAAGTTATATAAAAAGGAAACCTGTGCCTATTTCATAACAACACTATTACTGGGGCCTCTTGCACTTCTGTTGCATGCATTCCACTTTTCACCCCACAAGGGCAGCCAATAATAGCACTACAATAAAATCCCACTAACAAATCCATTCTACTAAAACAAGTTTGTACAGCAGCAAGCTAAAGTGAAACTTCCACAGTTTGCTTGCTAAGTGCTCAAAAGTCATATCAGGTTAGCAAAAGTCATACAGATACCGATGACGGAATTGGAAGTCAAACTGTTCAGACTATCTTGGTATGTTAAATTGATTCCTGATATTGGGATGCTCAAATATTTCCATGTCATTTTAGAAAGAGTGCCCGTTTCATTTAAAATAGCCACCTCAGTATCTCATAAATACTAATGTCTTCAGTAGGCTGAAGAGACAATTCAAGATTCTGATAATACAACCTCTCTCCAGTTACTTGTTGCTTGCTGTCTTTCAATATCTACTGATTGGCAGCTCGAACAAGAATCAGATGTTTAATATAGATGCAGCTCCCTTGCCTGCACTGCTGTCTCCCTTTTATTATTATTCCACGTGGATGAGCTTGTTAGATATATTGAGAAGGAATGACTACACAGAGGAAAAAGTCAAGAGGAAAGGCCAAGTGCAAACAAACTTTATGCACAGGTTAAAAACAAATTGGGGCTCAGTGTTTGCAGGCAGAGACAGAAAGGGAATGTGGTAAATTAGCAAACAACCGAATACAGAATGCAATATTAAACTTCACTGTCAAAAAATAATTATCAATACCTATTTTTTCTTGTTCCAGAACAGACCCTTAGTGCTGTTGAGTGTCTGCTTCATACTATCAACACAACAATGCAATAGAAAGTAGTCGAAAATGTTTTGCTCCCCTGCATTTTGACTCAACAAAATTAACTTACACAACCAAGCAATACAAATGCTCAGTAGAAACACATAGGAACAAGTTTTTCCCTAATAAATTCAAAATTTTCTACTGAAGTTAAAATTACTTTGCAATGGTCATGAAATATTAACTATATTATGGAGCCTGTGCCAAGTTTTAGTCATGACAGATTAAAAATTCTGCTCTCACTGGGTTACATTTCAGGAATCCAAATAAAGCAAAAAACCTTCTTCCCTCCATTATCTCCATCGTGGCATCAAGACATATTTCGTGGTAATGTATGAGCTTCTCAGAGTATTTCAATGTATGTCTACAGTAATATTTTATTTATACATTTATTACCTCAATTAAAAATGGGATATTTAGTTTCATGTCAGTTGGTTAGCATTAATACCACTGATTACATCTACAAGTTTATTGGCCAAATATAAAGTATCTGTAGAATGTGTCTATTTTGCTATTTTTTTTTAAAAAAAGACACTTCAAATATTGTGTAATATAGTTTGAGAATGTCTTCTAAACAATGCCTTCAGTATTATTTAAAAACATAGCCTTTCAAATTAAACTCAGATCTTTTGTTTTCTCTGTTATTGCTGTATTATGTTACTGTATTTCCCTCTAGAGGCTGCATTTGTCTGGAAGCAGCTTGATTGGAGCCTTGTCTCTGCTGCATCAACCTCCTTTAAAGCTTTCGGAGGAGTTTCAATGCAACCACATACTAAGAAATAGAGGCTTTACCTCCCCCACCCTCCCATACAGGAATTCTAAACAGGGAACTAACAGCCAGGAGGAGAAAAAAAATCCACAATATCCCCTGTCTAATACATCCATTTGAAGTACAAACTTTGTTTCATAGTCATGCTTTTTTAATTATTTGCAACAATATACCAAGCTATATACATCCTCTCATCACTGTGCTTTTGGTTACTTTCCTACTGATGCTATTGGAGGTATGGACTTATCTCCAATAAAAGATCATTGCCCTATTCCCCCCTCCCCCAAATTCTGGAAGGTGCAGTAATTTTTGCAAGAAGTACTATTCCTCAAGGGACAACATAGTACTATTCCTCCATTGCAGATGAATCCCATAACACAACTCAGAAAAAAGTGCTCAAAGTCGGATTACCTAAAAGCTGTTACTACGGTATCACTGTATTAAAAAAAAAAAACCAACCAAGGAAATATCTAGAAACTGAAAGTTGAGAAGAATCAAGTACAATTTATCTTTACCATTTACAAAGTGCTGCATTAGCTACAGACTTCAGGACATTTATATAAAGACATAAGCTTTTATTTATTTTCAACATGTCCCTGGCAAAACTATTTTTCAAAATTCACATCTGTGATAAATGCAAGAAATTTAACTTTAAAAGCCTGCTACACTGGTTAAGTGTCCATACTCAATAATCATAAATTTAGGGAGCACTCTTCAGAATGATGACAATTTCACAAATGGAATAATAGCTAAGCAGACCCAAATGGCAAGAAAGAATGAATTTGCTTGTTCTATGGATACAGAACTTTCTCAGCTGCAATAAGTGCTCAAGATTAAAATGTAAGAATACATATGATTATGTTGTGTCACTGGCATTTGGATACATGTGTCATATAATGATCCAAAGAAAATACATTTTAAGTAAAACAAAAAGAGAGAGTATGTTATTGTTTAAACATCATAAAGGCCGTTTCAAATGGATTTGAGGCACAGAAGATTCTTGCCCCAGAAGAAAAAAATAGAATGGTAGTACTAAAATCAGTTTCCAAGTTACATATAAGTAGTTGTAACATCTGATTTAAAAACTCATCATCCCAATGTTAGGATGCTCAGTTTCACAATTAAAAAACACCAACAACTTGCAAATATTTTACCAATACTATAAACTAATCTACAAATGTTAACTTTAAAAGGGAACATTTTAATCTTTGACTACACTATTTATTGCAGACAGGAAATACTGGGGGGAATAATAATTGGTGCCAATTCAAAGAAAGCCCTTGATTGCTTTTAGCACTGAAATTAAAGCCTAAAATAAAAATTTAAAAATCCCATAATAATTTTGGTACACAAACTGGTTCCAAGACTAGCCCTATATCGCCACAGCATTGACTGAGGTACTTCTACAAAGACTCAAAGCTGTAGGCAAGGAGTTCAGAAGTGGTTCACTGCAATAAAATACTGCTTCTGTTTTCTTAATTTCACTTTTTCCAAATGGAATTTAGGAGGTAAAAAAGTATATGCCCAAGATTATGCCAAAAGATTATCACCAACAAGAATCTTTGTACTTGATCACTTTTGAATTTAGTCCTACTTTTTATGTAAAGGTATATTCTAACAATTGCTTCCACACTTGGTTCATATCCATGCTGCAAGGAAAATAAGCCAATAAAATCATTTAATTAATTTGCTCCCCTAATCAAAAAGGACATTTTTCTTCAGAATATGTTGAATTCTTTTCTATTGAAATATTGATATGACTATGCTTTTACAAAAGAAAACTGCTCAAACTATCAATCTGGCCAAGATTAGTGCTGCTTTGTTGGGGAGGGGTGGTCGTGGACCTGAACAAAATTGTATTTACCAGCAGTGTGGCAATCATTGACATCAATCACTTAAGACTGTTCTAGGAGGTAAACCATTACGTAGATGATTTTCCACCAAACATTCCGATGATGATTAATGAATTAAACAGGAAAAATACCTTAACCGCATTTTTCCTGAATGTTTTTGTCCTTGAGAATGTCCATAATAACACTGAATCTAAAAAGTGGAAATGGAAAGAACTTACAAATAACAAATGGTTCCTTTGCAAGATTTCTACAAAGTCATTTTCCAGTCACAGAACCAGAAAGAAAAACACCACCAATTTTTTCTCCCTTTACCTGGTGACCTAAAAGGTTAACACACTTGCTAATGTAGAATGATGGAAAAAAATCACTGCCACAATTCTACCTCTTTAAGACCCTGCAAACATTACAACAGTGCATTAGTGATATAAACTGTAAAATACTTTTCGGCTTGTTTGGATTTTGCATATGACAATTTTTGCATCAGTCAGAGCAGGTAGGTTGAGCAAGCTTTGCGAGTTTTAGACATGCATTCAACTAGATATGAATCAATAAATTTATACTTCCTTTAATCATTATAATTAGCTAAAAATTGCAAGACAGTCCACAAAACAGGATTTGCTTTAAGACTAACTGCTGGAGTTCCAAGATGTAAGATATGCAGCACTGGGAAGTCTTCGGTGGAATTAGTGTTTAGCAAAGGATTGCAAGCATTCAGAAGAAACAAGTCCTGGTTGGAGGCATGAAGGCTTCAGCACCAACTTTTAAACCTCAGTTACTTGATTGCATATCTCCCATCTTCAAATCTGCATTCAAAAGAAGGGTAAAAATAGCTAAGCATTGTGCCTTTTGATAGTCCTGCACTAGACAAATCATTATAGCTATAAATATATTAATACTTACACTGGGTAATGGTAATCACCACTGTGGGGGCACATAACTATAGGTTGGAGTTCCTGGAGCTCGATAAGTGGGCATTGTAACTTGGTGGGGGGCTACGGGAGTTGGGGAATGTGTTGTCAACAAGGTACCTGGGAAGGAAAAAATATTTCCACACTTAATTGCTTAGAACTCTTCATTGTTTATAAATAGTTTGGAAGTTGGCATAGCCACCAGAATTTCTGTTACAGAACTTAAATAAATTATGTTTGCAGACTGTCCTGTTTCCCCCCCCCCCTGAATTTTAGAATAAAATAGAATAGAATAAGAGTTGGAAGGGACCTTGCAGGTCTTCTAGTCCAACCCCTTGCCTAGATAGGAAACCCTATACCATTTCAGAAAAATGGTTATCTAACATCTTCTTAAAAACTTCTAGTGTTGGAGCATTCACAACTTCTGGAGGCTTCTGTTCCACTGTTTAATCATTCTAACTGTCAGGAAATTTCTCCTCAGTTCTAAGTTGCTTCTCTCCTTGATTAGTTCCACCCATTGCTTCTTGTTCTATCCTCAGGTGCTTTTGAGAATAGTTTGACTTCCTCTTCTTTGTGGCAATCCCTGAGATATTGGAACACTGCATCATGTCTCCCCTAGTTGTATGATATGTCTTACAAATATTTTAGGACTATAATTCCCAGAATTCCCAATTAAAATGATATTAAGGCATGGCACAAAATTAAATTCACTTCTTGCATTACCATGTTAAAACTTCTTTCTGCACTTTGACATACAACCAATCAATAAATATTCTACAAATCAGAATACGAGTAGTCCTCCACTTATGACCACAATTTAACCTAAAATTTCTGTTGCTAAGCGAAACATTTTTAAAGTGAATTTTGCCCCGTTTTATGACTTTTCGTATCACGGTTGTTAAGCCAATCACTGCAGTTGTTAAGTAAGTAACACAGCTGCTAAGTGAATCTGGCTTCTCCTTTGACTTTGCATGTCAGAAGGTTGCAAAAGGTGATCACATGACAAACATCATAAATATGAGTCAATTGCCAAGTATCTGAATTTTTATTGCGTGACCATGAGGATGCTGCAATGGTTGTGAGGGTGAAAACAGGGATAAGTCACTTTTTTAATGCCTCTGTAACTTCAAATTAAACGAACTGTTGTAAGTCAAATAACTACCTGTATTTAATATACAATTGCCTTGTGAGGGTCACTATCACAGAAGGACCTGCATTTTAAAATGTGTTTGATAGTCAAAGGATTAGTTACAAGAATACAAAATGTGAGTGCTATGTGCCAAAGAGATTACCTGTTTACCAATGGTTTTCTGAGAATTTATATGCAGCACCCAACTGGCCACACTAATAGGTATCAAGTGCTCTATAACAACCAATACCATATCACAGACTTTTGTAATAAAAGAAAATTCACATACCTGCAGACATTGCCATTGTGGTCCCAGCCACCATTCCCATGGTGACACCATTTCCTCTGGGAGGTGGAATTGGTGCTGGATACATAGTTGCAGGCATTCCATTGGGCTGCACAACTGTAGTGTGATGGATTACGTGGGGTGGTGCTGCATATAAAGGCTGTGTGTAGTAAGTGCCTTGCTGTTGAAAAAAATGGTTGTTTTACTAAAAGTCTTTCCAGTACTATTGATATATACTAAAAGGCCACACGGTTTCAAGGAAATGCCATTATTTTATTATACACATCAGGTATGAGTCGGGCCCTTCAAAAAGGAAAAAAAAAGAACTGATTACTGTTCATCAGTAATAATGAGTTTTTAGTTTTCTCAAAACTATTCCTGATTAACTGCTCAATCAATCTGAACTAATTGGGAAGCACAAGTGTAATTGCATATTAACCAAAATTGCTGGCTTGTATCTCCAAACAAACCAGGAACAAGAAGTCAACAATCATGTTGTTTTGAAGGCAGATTATCAACTATAAGCCAAAATTCACTACAATTCTGATTTACACTATACGTATGA